TCACCAGGAGAGCCGGGGAGATGTGTGAGGGACCCAGGTTCTTGTGGCGAAGAACTCCTCGATCTCGATAATGGGTTACTGTGGAGCCGTCATTGGAAACAGTGGGGCAGACAATCAGCGAAGCAACACCAGCCAGGTGTACCTTGCTAATCTATCTGACGGTTCCCGCGGACGGCAAGCAGTGGGTGGCTTCCTGCCGGCCACCCGCTCAAAGTACGGAGCAGAGCTCCGAGGGGCCCAACACCGGGCTAAGCTTGGTCGGGTGCATTCAGGGTATCAATTGCCGGTGTACCCCTCGAACTGCGCGGTTGTGCCACAACAGCTAAGCTTTTTGACGTTCACGCACACGTGGTCGCCTGTCCCCGTAAGCGCAAAGTCTTTGAGGTCGAGCTGACTTCCATCCTTGTCCCTGAGAACCTGCCGCAGCAGAGCTTCCAGTACCTCCTGGCACTTGCCTCAGCTGAAGGTGTACGGATAACTGGCGAGGCATTTGGGACAAGGGGGCGGTGCCTCAAAAGCTTGGAGGCAGCATGCCTATCGGCAGCTCAGACGTTCACACGTGCTGGTCACTTGTTGTTGTTTTTGCGCATGCTTGGTGTGCTGTGGCAACCAAAACTGTGGAATTCGACGGGGGTCTCAGATTCAAGAAGCAGCTCGGAGCAGATACCATCGCATGCTCAATGGACCACGGCAGCATAGCAGCAAGTGCAGCGAGCACTGGTGGGCAGCCGCCCCGTCGACCTGGCGACCATCGTGTATGCTTGCAGGCCATTCACGGCCCAACCTCTGGAACTCCTACTCGTGCACCCAAGATTCAGGGAGCGCTTTTGGTTTTGCCTGCATTAGGTAGTATTCGAGGTACGTAAGAATTCAGTCGTTCGTATCCAACAAAGATACAGCTTAGGACAGCAGCTTTCGCTCTCTCTGTCTCTCGCTCGCTATCGCTTTCTTCCTTTTTCGGTCTGAAAGAAATTAAAGTCAGACTTCCGTGAGTTGCTCGCACATGCACATGAGTGTGTTGCAGCAATGCAGAAGTGCTCAGGTCTACACCCGCTCGTCGCTAGCGGAGCAGACCACCCCCGCAGCACAAGGATTCAATGCCGTGACCTCGGTTCAATCCGGCGATGAAGCCGCAAACGAAGATGCTGCGTGCTTGGCGCCCTCCGTTCAGGACACGTTTTCTCCAGTCTCGCAGCTCCAGTTCGTAGACAAGGCCAATGCATCCGAGCCTTATTCGCGCGCGGTGGATGTTCTTTCCTGGTCATGACGACATGGTTTATTGTGCAGTTCCGGCCTCTTGCATCTTAGTATCACAGACTGATGTCGTCTTGAATTCGCAGTGAGCCAACTTGTTGCGCTGACTCTTGATTTTCGGAGTTCTTCAAATAGTAGCAAAGCCAGGACTTGGACGGGTCACAAGTCGGCGGACAAGTCTCCTGGGAACCACCGGAGGCCAGGCAGACGGAGTAGAGCGGGCAGCTCGTCAGTTCAAGACTCCAGACCATAGACCCAACACATCTCTCGACATCGCTCTAGACGATCTCGACGATCCATGACAGGGCTCGCGAGTGGACTGCCGCAACATACCCGATACGCCGCAACTTTCCCAATACTGCAAAAACTTGCCAACACAATGACAGATGTTCAGATGTTCATGTTGTTGTGCTTTGACTTGTCAGTTCCCTGAGCCTTTCAGTCTCGCTTTCGCCGGATTGGGCGTGGGGGTGGCCCTGAAAGCAACGGATACCCACGCCCGTGCAAGCACCGTCGTCCTTGAAGCCAGGACCTTGCTCGGGTGGTTCTTTATGCCGCCCTCGTCGTGTTTGGCATTTCATTTGATGTTGCTGTGCTTGATCACAAAAAGATGGCATGTGCAGGAGGTCCATCTGATTCGGGGTTGTCGGGAGGCTTCAGTGCAGGATCATGCAGGGTCTCCTCTTTGTGATGCGGTAGTGGCTCGATCAACATGGTTCCAGCAGTGTTTCCTTCATTTTCCTCCGGTTAAAAAAGAGAAAGGACGTGACCGATGCAATTCGTTGAAGTTTTGGGATGCATTTTAGGCATGTCTTCATGTGCAATCTAGTCACTGGGCCTATCTTCATCCAAGGATTTCTCTAAAGCCCTACCGTAAAGTTCTGGCGGGCGCGACCTGTCAGGTGGTAAGTTTTCACAGGACTTAGGGCCAATTATGTCCAATTTAGGTTTGCCACCTGAGGTCGTGTCCGGCCGTTTCGAGTCTGAGTGTTTCAAGACAGGCAGTGTACCTGGCCGCCACCGCCACTGGAACAGGACGCAGGGTGTTCGGAAGAGCTCGTCAGATCACGCGATTGCAGTCTCGGTGCCAACTCGGTGCTCCCAGTTATGACCTGCGGTCTCGATGTCTGTTACTGAGATGGTTTCAACTAGCCCAGGCATTTCCATTGATGCTCCCCAAGCATCGTGCAGTGGATAACTGCTCAACAAAGTGAACATCTGCAGTTCTGCCTGCCGGCACCTGTGTTCGGCATGCCCAGTGCTGCACAATCAGGGAGGAACAAGCAGGAAGAACCAAGTTCGTCTAAATCCAACAGCTGAAGCTGAGTCTTCCCCAACCCCAAGAGGTAGCAAGGTGATGACGAACAGCAGGCCTCAACGTTTCGAGAGTTCCGTGCTGCACATGAACATGTGAGTCTGGGAACACCTTGTTTGGTAGCCCGTACCGAAAGAAAAACATGCTACACCAAACCCGAAGCTTTTCCTCTCAGCCTGCGCTTCGGATTTCGCCACGCACCTCGTAGCAACCGAGCGACCTCTTCGACATAGAACCTCGACTGATATGTGGGTTCCTGAGACCTGTTTTGGCGTGTCTCAAATGCCCTGTCAAGAAAATGCGTCTCCGGCAGGCGACAGATCTTAGGGTGTCTGAGGTGCACAGACCGGATGAAAACATAAAGGCCAGGCTGGCTTGTTTCCTGGCTGCCTGGCTAGTCACTAAGTCGGATAAATGAGCAGCAGTATGACCATTTTGCTCATCAATGCATCGACCGCAGCTTCACAAGATGCTGTACACCAGAGTTCAGCCTGCAACAGTCACGCAAGACGGTGAAGCAGGGTGGCCGGCTGAAACCCTGGAACGTGACGACGAAGAGTCAAAGAGATGGCACAGTCCCAACAGGCATGTTGAGTTGTTGCCACAAATTGGTTGCAACTTTCCGAGCTTGGCCGTCCCTCAACACTAATCAGAAAAGGCGTCGCTGTGCCGAGCACCAAGTTCAGCCGGCAGTGATTGACATGCTGTTTGTCTCTTGCGTGCTCACTGCTTCGGTGCCCTTGCGTCGGTTGGGCAGCTGCCACTGCCATTCAGAGCCTGCTTGAATCTTGCCCTCCATACTCAGCTGGTAATGCGTGCTGACAATCCAGCCGATTCTTGTCCCCTTTACTCCTTAACCCCAGAAACGTTTCCGATCAGTGCAGGAAGATCTTTGGTGGGAACGGTACCGGCACCTGCCGTCGCTACACCCGTGCCCGCCCCACAGTTGCTCAACCTAACAAGCTTCGTCGCATGTCGTTTGCGGTTGTCAAAGAAGAGGACCGAAAAGCCACTCTAGCAGCTAGCATGTCTTACAAGGGAAGTTCGAGATTCTCCCAAGACTTCACAGCCGTGTGACTGAAACCATGGATCCAGCTGGATCGCTGTGTTGCTCGAGGGTAGCGGGTCTGAAATGTTGCGGGTTCAGCTTTTACATCATTCGGCAAAGCCATGAGGCTGGACGTTCCCTTGGACACCAGTCTGGGTGCCGGGATCCTAGATTTCTGTTCGTTCTTTGTCATGCCTTTCCCAACACCGTATATCAGCTTATCAGCCACTGATGATCGAGCCTGGCGCTCGTTCAATGCGAGCCTTAACCAGGCCTGCACTAAAACTTGACCGAGAGCGGTGCATGCTCATCCTCAAAGCTGCCTAACGTGCCTCGAAACCTGTTTCAGTTACCAAAAGCCTCGCAAAGCCACTGAACCCAAGCCCCAGGCTTTCACACACGTTCTCACCTACAGCCAGTCCATTGCATTCGAGCAGAGCACGCCCGTCGCGCTGTTCTTCAATGACTCCTCCTTGCTGGCCTGCACGGGGAATCAGGATTAAAGAAAGTTAGGGTCTGTTGCGAGCCGGTCTGGGGTCAGTTCTCACTCCGTTTTGTGTATTTACTGCAAGATGATCTGTCCGGCAAGACAGATTGGGGACAGAAGTGATGGGCGGAGACGTCATCCCAATTCCGAAACTGCGTCACGGAGACCTCAACCTGCACAGATTCTACCAGAACCACCGGAGGTTCAGCATCTTTCCTTCCTGGATCAAGACTTGGACGACCGGGAGATTGGTGGGAAGGTGAAGCTGTGATTCTGTGCCTGTGTGTGGGTGCAGATGAGAGGGAGGGTACGGCTGCTTGGGGATCGGTTCAGGATGAAGCTGCTTCCTGGGCGTGATCTTGATGTTCAGGCATTGTATGCATGGGTCACATACTGAAGACTATATATATAATAAGCAAAGCAAGGAAAAAGTGCCGGAGCGTTCACGCAGGAGTCGCGACTACGTAGTGGAGTGACTGGAGATTCTGCGAGAAAGCATAGTGATAGTTGGCAGCAACCCGCCGGGAAGGTGAGCTGGACACCGCCAGAAGATCCTGGAGTTTTGGAAGGCACAGCAGAAGACAGCAGAAAAAAACAAGCAGCTTCCTTGCATCTTGGGGATCTGCGGACTTACAGAGCCTTTGCGCAATTTCTGCTTGCGAATAGATGTGGCAATGCAATGCAGTGAAGATAGCCACGCCAGAATCAACGGTCGCGAAGGCCACTGCAACGTCTCAGACATTCGGAACGATTTTGACGGTAGTGCTCACTTGCCAGCTGCACGGCATGTCCGCTTCAGATGTTTGCCGAGTATGAATGCAGTGTAGACGTGTGCAAAGACGGGCAGGGTATGTGGTCTACCTGGCCGTTCGGAGCTTGGGAAGCCTGCAACGGAGATGGGCCATTTGCAGCTGAAGCTTGAGAATGAGCTGCGTTTCTCCTTGCTGGCTTTTTCCTCCTTTGCCGGCTTTGGTCAAGCTTTCGGCGTCGCTTTGTCGCTGGGACCAGATTCCAAGTCAACCGGACCCCCCGGCGCTCTAACCGTCTACCCTGAGGCCTCTGCCACCGGGGGAAGCCGGTCTTTGCTCGGAAACGTCACGGCCGGGTCTCAAGACGACCGCAGGGGTTCGGGCCGGTTGTGGTTCGAGGAGTTCGAGGCGTTCGAGGATCAAGGCTAATCGGGCGAGGCCCTTGATGTTCGCAAGAGTCTTTCGTAGCTCACGCGCATCTACGGTTACTGAGGGCTGCCACCACAGTTGCCATAGTTCCTCCACCTCCGAATGTTGAACCAGTGCATTGTATGATTCGTCGTTGTACACCTGGTGGAACGGGGTCCGTAGTCACATCGTCCTGGCCCCTGGACTACCAAACTTGTGGCGATGCTAGCTGCTTGCTGCTAGCTCCTGACCGAAAACGCAAGAGACGCTTGCGTAAGGTTGGGGCCAACTCCTTCGACATCTCAGCTGACTTCCCTTTAGAAAACTACACCCACGTGCTGGTCTACACAAGGCTCTCTGGTTGGCAAGCTTTTGGCTAACATGTTGCGTACCTGGCGGTGTTGACCGGCATGTTGCCTGAATGCTGCCAATGGCTGCCGGAGCTGTCGCTTCGACAAGCACAAGGACGTGTAAAGTAAACCTCATCAGACAGCAAGCCTCAGGGCGACTAGGGGGGTAGCTAGGGAAGCTTAGTGGCCGTCTCCAAATTTGCAGGTCGGACTTTGGCGAATCCTCCATAGCAGAAGCAGTGCTGATTGGCTGCAATCGCGAATGCTTCTCACGGATGTTTGGTAGATGCTGCAAGTTTAACTTTGGTATGAAGTGTATGCAATTGTTGTGGAGGTCAGGGCATTCGCAAGCTTCGCCAAGTGCAAACCTCTGTTGCAACAGGGTGTTCGATACACGTGATTAACCATCTCATCTTCACACTGTCAGGCTTGGCACCATTTCTTTTCCTCCATTGCTGAAGCCGGAACCACGTCCACCCCGTGAGCCCATTTTAGCCATTCCTGGGGTCCTCAGTCTTAGTCTTGATCGTTTTCAGGCCCTTAGCGTAGGATGCCTGGTAAGTACAGGTATGTCAACTGAAGAGGGTAAACGGGTAAACATGCTCGCAGCAAGGGTATGTTGCAAGGATGGCAGTGTCGTGGCTGCGGTGTACCACTCAGGCCTGTCGTCGATGTGTTTTCTCGCGTCACCGACCTCGACTTCGTGGACAAGGCAGGCTTCCCGTCTTTCTGGCCTGGAGTCTAACTTCTTTTCACATGTGGCATGTGTTCTTAATGCGGAGGGTGTATAGTCAGGACACAAAGTGTCTCGAATCCGCAAGGACCTCGACGCAGAGCAGCTTGGTGGATTCGTTCGCTGGATTGCACCGGCGGATGTGTCGCAGGTTCGGGCCTCAGGCTGATGCAGGCCCAACCCGTCGAAGCTCGGTGTTGCTGTGCTACCAGCCACTCAGTAGCTAGGCTCACGACGAAGGTTCTCACACGGTGGCTAGTGAATCAACAGATGATGAGGGCACTCAGCAAACGGGGATACTATGGCCGGTGGGTGTTACCTGCCTGATGTGTTTGTTGCTTAGGCTTTCAACCGAGCGAGTGCAGACATAGTGCAGCCACCTTGACAAGAGCTGTTTCCCAAGCCTGCCAAAGTTCCGTTACCTTGTTCATGCACTAGAAGCAGATCCTCGAAATCTCTATGAATCCCTTCCCGACCTGCTAGTGGTGCGCTGGGCATCGGACATCCTGGCATTGTGGTTCAAACGCGTCCGTGCCCCGTTTGGGAGCCGCCCCGGCACTTTGAGAGCGTGGGCCCCAGCACGCAACAGTTCGGGAGTTTCCAGCCAGGCCGTTGGTTGCGAGTTGAAGACTTCAAGCTTTGTATTCAGGCTGCATGAGGATACTGCAGCAGCCGGGGAGTGTCGTGTTTCGCCGCTAATTTTCATGGGACCTGAAGTTTGGCTCTTACAGACACGAGCTGCGACGTGAATGAGGTGAAGGTGTGCAGAGTTCGGGATTACTGGGTTACGCCTGGGGCATAGGCTTCCACGGGACAGCCTGGAGACTCTATTCAACGATTTCGCAGAGCCTTTTCTGCTGCACCAGGTAGAATAAGGGCTTGCGAGGCTTTGGTCGGCGCAGCTGGCAGTTGGGTCTTTCCAGTTCTGTGTGATGTCTGCAGTCGCCACAGGCAGAAGATCAAGAGCAACAGTCTACTTACAGTTACCATTGTTTCACAGTTCCTCACGTCGCATCATGGAGGGCCCCCTGAAGAGGGAACAACCTTCAGATCCATCTTGGCAGGCCATGCCGGTGTTGCAAGGCGGCGATTGGGCTCGGCCCCCAGAATGTCAGGAGCCTTCTGGCGGGGCTGTTGCCAAAGCCGTGGCCTGTGGTTTTTGCAGGAATCACACGACTCCTGCTTTCCAGCTAGACTGGGTTTGATATTCCGCCTCGCCGGACCGAGTACCACATCGAGGGGGAGACCCCCGCACAGCTGAAGGAGCCTGAACAAAAGGTGGGCTGTGCTCTCACGCCTTCAAGTTATCCACGGCCGCAAGCAGGAGAGTTCGTAGTGAGAAACGGGTTGGTTGTTGAAGGGGATGCGGGTGACGTCACTGCTGCTACGTAGTACATCTGTACAAGCATCAAAACCCAGCTGAGTGAAGTTCCGAAAGCAAAAGAGTTGTTGTCGTCAGCCTTCAATTGCCATTGGGAGGCAAGGTCGAAGTGTGCCGCGAGAGTTGGGGATCTTTTAGGGCTTCGGACGCTCGCCGCACGGCCACACGGACCAATCGTCTGTAGCACCGCATCTGGCGGTAGGCCGAAAACAAGCCGGGACATCGCCCGCTGGGCTCCTACAAGCTGCCGACACTGGGCCTATATAATTTGAAGCGTAAAATCCAAAGAAGTCTCCGTGCCCTCGACACTTCCCAACTGCAATCCGAGAGCATGTAGCTCTTCAGCGCAATTGGCAATAGTGTAATTACGGAAGACCGAACTTTGGTCTTCGAGGTTGCTCCTAGCCCCCCTTGAAGTCAGATTTCCAGGTTGTTGCAAGGTGGCCCTTCCCGTGTCTGGCAGTTCGCTGGACACAGCAATCAGACAAGGTTCTTCACGCGATTTCGAATCACGAAAGCAGCAAGCAACGGTACTGACGACACCGTCGTGCAATTCAGCATGTTGCCCCACCCGCGCTGCACCGACTACCCCCCCATTTTGTCAACTTGACTTTTGCGTGGGCCGGGAGCTCGCTTCCCCACGAGGTTCACAAGCTTTAGTGGAGTAATGGGTTCAGTCAAGCCAGGGAGCCCAACCTGCAAGTTGCCATGGGTTTTTGGTTCAGACCTTGCAAAGGCACTGCGCTGCAATAACCCGAGCGACAGGGATGCATCGCAACATTGAAGTCTAGTGTGATGTGCCCGGCGGGCAGCTGGAGAATCCCTTTGCGGCCCAGGAAATGGGTTTATCACCCGGAGCGAGCCAACCGCAGGCAGGATGTCTCTCACATTATCGTTCTCTTGCTGTTTTTTGCTGCAGTTTCTAGTCTACAGTGCCCTGTCCAACGTCAAGGCTGCTACTCAACTTACCAGGGAAAGTCCTGGCATTGACATGGAGAATCTCAAGAATTCACCCTGCAGCACAGGATTGTCATCAACAAAGAGGACTACTTCGGAATGGCAGCAGACGGCCTCCGCAACTTTGATTTGTGGAACGTGGCCCACGTCGCAGCAGCCTCGGTGGACCGGTCGACACGCCACCCGATCCCCGTATGGATGTGTTCCCATGTTAGTCCAAGCTCGATGTCTGCACGTATTCCACATCGAGCTCGAAGGGAGGAGTACGTTAACCCGCACTGCTGTCGCACTGGGGTTTTGCAGTTCCGAGTCAGATGTGACATGCTTCCAAGCATCAACCGCTTGAGTGTCCACACGGCGGTTAACCGTTTCGACACCTGGCCTGGCATGCATCCGAACATCAACCGATTGAGCATCCTCGCGTGGTCCCAGATCACATCTCAGTCAGCATGATCGCCACGATGCAGACTTCGAGTCCTGCTGTAGCGAGCGTAGTAGCGGAATACGGCAAAGCCTAACAAAGCCTCGTGGAAGCTGATGCTGTCGCGGTTTACCTGCTTTCAGCATGTTTGGGCAGCGAACCACACAACGCCTGAAAACAGCCTTGCCTGCACAAAAAGGCAGCATACCACGACGACTTGAAGCTCTTGTCAATGGCCATAGCCTCAGGACCTCAGGGCCACGACAGCAGAGATGGACAAGTCTGTGCGACCGAATGCTAAGCCACGGAGCCCCAAGTGGATTGGAGTCAAGCTTCCGAAACCTTGCCAGCCTTCCAGGCCACCCTTGAGCAATGCAAGGAGCCAAACAGGCTGGACTAGTGGCTGATCTCTGAGGGTGAGGCTTGAGCTTGGGGCTCTACATCAGACGAAACTTGTCTCGACATCACGTGCGTTGGTTGCAACGTCTAGACTAGGGTGAGTGGCTCTAAAGCGTCGTCTGCCGAGCTCAGCTATCCGACATTTTGCAGACTTACGGAGCATTGCAGTGCAACCGCTGGCCTTTCCTTTGAGGCGGAAGTTGTGCATCGTTTGTTGTCTGTGGCGGTTGATGATTTCAAATTGAGCAGATTGGGCCCGCACTAATCCTGACCCGTGTGAGGTGGGGAATGACCCCAATGCACATGACTGGCTTGGGACAACATCCTTACGGCACCACTGGCAAGGATTCTGGTCGGCGGAAGTGCCAGAAAGTGAAGCCAGTATTTGCGCAGGATTTTGGAAATTGTATGCATGGTGTGATGCCGGACATCATCATTCGACAAGTGGTTCTTCGCAAAGTGCCGAAGCTGCGGGCTCACAGCGATCGGAAGCTGCTCGCTGCTTCATTGTATACATGCATGCAATCAACATCTGCACCTTTGTGGCAGGCCCCTCGCTTTGCGTCCTCTGGGAGCTAGTCCAGATGGGTGCAGCAGACCCAATGGCCGGGACCCGAGCAGAAACTCGACACAGTCAGAAGTTGGAGGCCGTCAGCAGGCCCAGCTTGGTCTTAGGGGAGCCGGCTTCGGAGACGGCAACGAAAGCAGTAGTTGTACTAAGCAGTGGTAGTGGAAGTAGCAGTTGTAAGTACTCAGTCTGGCCCTCAACGGCGATAGTTAGAAACATTGTCTTGAGCATCGCGGCAAACTACACAATTGAAAATCGCATAGCATCGTAATGGCTGAGCATGGGAAACATGAACGCTTCTTCCCGACTCGCCTCGGGGAGCGTTGCATTGCAATCTTTGCATTAGACGAGTCGTGCATTGTGACTGCTCATCGTTCCAAAGTTCACCGAGTAGCCGACTCTTCATGTTTCGCCTGTCTCAGACTAGAACGCCCGTGGCTTCTGGTTGGGTTTGCCGGGCATGGGCTGTGCTGCCTGCATGCATGGCCTGTTAACCACACAATCCAACAAATCCGTCGTCAACCATACGAATTTTGATTCCAGCATAGGCTGTAGTTGCATATAAGATTTTTTGCGAAATGCTTTCTCGACATTACGAGATCATGTCCAATGGCTCCAGGCCCTGAACTCCGCAGACCAAAGTCCCTGGCACATCGCGCAGCGGATGCAGAAGCCCTCCCACCTGAAGAAGTGGGAGAAGGTGCGGCACTTCGAGTTGACTTGAAAATCTTGATGTGAGATTTAAGGATGGCGTTCAAAGGCGTGTGGCTGCAATCTTGGATCACCTCGTACCTCAGTCACCATGGGCCTGAGCAAGTGGGAAAACTCTGCAAACCTTCCAAACAGAACCTAGATGAACCGAATTAGCAAGATTACCTTCCCCGCAGATGAAGCACATGTTCACCTCACCAAACTCGTGCCAGTGCGAATAAAATTCCCCCCCCCCCACGAAGATTTAGAGAACAGTTTCCCTATTGCGAGTACCCTTGGTGTGCCAGCTTCAGCGGCTGTTTGCGCCGGCAAGCCCCCACCGCTTGTCCGGAAGCATGCCGTCGGTCAGCGTCCGTCTAAAGTATCGGCTGGACATCTTATGACATGTGTTCGTATTTGTAGCCGACATTCTTCGGCATCTCTCATGGAATTTCAGGTGCTCAGCTCCCAGAGCACTCAGAGCACTAGGAGCCCAGAGAGGTGTTGCAGTCGAGCCGTTCGCACGAGACAGGTTGTTTTCAAGGGCGGAAAGCCGGAGGAGTACGACAGCAAGAAGGAGGCGCACCTGCAGAACTGCAACGTTGAGCCCCTTTCCGCCCTTTCCTTCCCTGAACTGGAGAAGCCGTGAGGCGCAGCTGAAGCCACGAGGGAAGTTCGCCCGAGCCCTTGGCCTGGACCCCGCCATGGCCGAGGCCGTGGGCGGGCTACTCACCCGAAGCTGGGACCCTAAGTAAGGGGGAGTCCAGAAAACCCCCACGCCCGAATGCAGCCATGGCAGGATACCTCGAAGCCGCTGCCGGTTTGCTTGGTGTTCCCAGGCCTGATCACCCGACAGCTTGGGGGAGAATTCTGCACCGCATGTCCAAGCCCGTTCTGGCAGGCCAGGGGGCACAGTACGTTGGCATGCTCCAGAAGCAGAAGGACATCGCAGTGTTGCTTACTAGCCTGCCGATGGTCCCGAGTAGCTGGATTGCACGTTCCTTGGTTTATCTAGGGCAACAGGCTTACTACGCGTGTGTCCTTGTCAAAACCGCCTGCAAATGCCTTCCATGGCCCTGGGAACCTTTGGACTCCCTCGGACCCTAACCGGATCTACAGCAGGATCTTCCAGCGGTGAAGGCCATGCTCGCAAAAGCGAAGGAGGCGACAGTGAAAACGCAAGAAGTCGGGCAGGTAAGCAGCTAGGCAGGCGTCGCACTGTTTGTTCATAGTTACGGGCTCAGTTGTTCATGGTCAAGGCCATTCGGAGTCGGAAGCTTCGGGTGGATCGGCTCTCCTGCTTCGCTGCATGGATAGTTTATTCAACATGTTCTCTGCGGCCTATCCCAGGTCAGAGCTCCAGGAAAATAGTACAGACGTGTATATTGCGTAGACAGAGCTTTAGGCCATTTTAGGCCTCAGGCCATTAGCCCATCGCAACAGACCCGGCAGCTGCTTGCAGGTTCTCGGTTACGACCTGGCAGAGCTCCTTCAAAACGGCCCGGAGGAGAAGTAATTGTCCAAGTTTGTTGAGCCGACACAGAGTGCCAGCCGTTCTTGTTTGAATGGTGCCAATGCTTGTAAAAGTGTCAGCAACATCAATGTTCTTCTCAAAGGAGACTGTGAGTGAGGGAGTGAGCGAGTGAGTGAGTGAGTGTGTGTGTGTGTGTGTGCGTGTGTGCGTGTGTGCTTGTGTGTGTGTGTGTGTGGCGTGTTTCGCCCCGATGTGGCGGACAACTTTTTCTGACGTGTACCGGCAGAGTCAGCAGCAGCAGCAGCAGCAGCAGCAGCAGCGGCAGCGGCAGCGGCAGCGGCAGCAGCAGCGGCAGCAGAAGCAGCAGAAGCAGTGGCAGCAGCAGCGGTAGCAGTGGCGGTTGTCATTATTGTTATTGACGGTGTTTCCCCTGCTGCTGTGGTGCTGTCGTGGCAATGGTGTTGATGGCGGCGGTGGTGCGGGTGCTGCTGGTTGCAGCTACTCTGGTAATCCATTGTGTTGCCAGCGCGTGCTACGGCTCCTGCCGGTATTAACTATAGTTAGAGCTGCCTGTGTAGCTCCGCATACGGTTGCAGCACTCAGCAGACAACTGTCGAGGTGTGTTCTGTGATCTATTCTTGCTGCCAAGTGTCTATTGTCTTCGACTCAAGGTTAGCAGAGACGAAATACTGCCAACCCGCCATGTGCGGCCCACAGTGCTTCAGAGGAGGCAGTCAGAGGAGGCAGCACTCGAGTACGACATTTCCAGGAATTGCTTGTGCACTTTATCTAAGAGCAAAGAGGCCATATCAGGGAGGCGCTGGCATACTAGTCTTCTAGTGCCAGGATGAGCCAGGTCCTGACTTGGATGCTTCCCAGGTACATAGCCGGCATGGCCGCATTCGAACAGCTTGGAGCCAAGCAGCTAGGATTTGCGTCGCGCCATGTTGCTGCGAAGAGCGAAAGGTAGGTGCACGGATGCCTCTGGGGAAGACTGCGTCTACAGAGCCACATTCAGCCGACAGTGCCCCAAACAGACCCAACACTGACCAAACCCTAATTGCACAATTGCGACTGTGGCGTCTGTTTTGCCCACTCTTCAGGTTGAAGCTGGAGGAGGAGGACAAAGTCAGCAGATGTCGAGCAGTGGCTGGTGCGCCCACAGCCCTTCTGGGGAGCATTTTGGCACCTTTGGGCATGTTGCCTTACACTTAGGCTCATTATGCGTAATCAACCTGCAGGCTCTGCCAAGCCTCGTCCTCAAAGCCTTGTGGGGCTTAAGTGCATCCCAGGCAGTAATTGGCCTCCGAGAATCTCCCCGATCCCACGGGGAAGGAAAGGACAGAACGCAGAAGAGTGGAAACCTTGGACCACCGAGTCTGGGTGTACAAGCTTGAACTGCAGTGAGCCAGATCCGGACCCCGTAGTTTTGGTTACAGTCCGCCGCGACAGAACGAATGTGTTCTAGTGCCGAAACGTACGGAAACCATCGCCACCCCTCGCTTCAGCTAGCAATGTCGGGCTCTACCATGGCAACCGCAAGTAGTTGTGAACATGCACACTCGACGAAGGGCTCTCCTTGGGCGAATACGTCGCGCTGACCGCTGCGGGCGTTTTTGACTTTGAGACTGGGCTGCGGCTCATCAAGGCCACGGGAGCCTTTCTGCTTCAGTCTTGTCCGTCCAAGCTGATTGCCGTTTGCTGGAGCTTTGGCCTTGTCCCCCATGTGGATCTTCAGCTGCAGTCCCAAACGTTCTTGCAACAGAAGGAGGTGAGGTACGGAGGTGAGACTGTCTGCAGGCCTGCGCAATCTTCACACGTCAGCAGGTCCGATCCGAGGCCATGCAGTTCGAACTCTCTGGCGGCCGGCCGGGTGCGAAGGCCGGATCGGTTGCACAGTGGGAGTTCAGGTGCGTGGGCTCGAGATGGCTCGAGCCTCGAGGCCCAGGGCATGTGCCTCGCGGTCGGCCTGGTCAAGGACGAGGTCGAGCGACTCTGCGCCGGCCTCAGCCGCAAGGCAGGGCCCGAGGCCTCAGAGTGCCGAAGCTTGAGCTGCCAAGGCAAAGAGTGTGCTGGCAAGGGCGAAACTTGCCAGATCGCTGCCTGCTTATTCTCGCGAGCTTTCTCGGCCGGGGATCTCGGATCTCTCAGGCTTAGAACTGCGAGCATTCAGAGCAAGGGAGGGTCATTTCCCAGTTCATATCACCACACACCC